TTAGATTTTTCTAGATATGCCCAAGTAATAGGATCATGTTAGATTTTTCTATATATGCCCAAGTAATAGGATCATGTTAGATTTTTCTAGATATGCCCAAGTAATAGGATCATGTTAGATTTTTCTATATATGCCCAAGTAATAGGATCATGTTAGATTTTTCTAGATATGCCCAAGTAATAGGATCATGTTAGATTTTTCTAGATATGCCCAAGTAGTAGGATCATGTTAGATTTTTCTAGATATGCCCAAGTAGTAGGATCATGTTAGATTTTTCTATATATGCCCAAGTAATAGGATCATGTTAGATTTTTCTAGATATGCCCAAAGTAATAGGATCATGTTAGATTTTTCTATATATGCTCAAGTAATAGGATCATGTTAGATTTTTCTATATATGCTCAAGTAATAGGATCATGTTAGATTTTTCTAGATATGCCCAAGTAGTAGGATGATGTTAGATTTTTCTATATATGCCCAAGTAATACGATCATGTTAGATTTTTCTAGATATGCCAAAGTGCATGAAACTTTTCATCAAAAGCTATACAAAAGGAGTTAATACTGTAAAAACTAGCATGAGGAGATCATAAAGTAACATAATTTTATTGAATGAAGGGTCTAATTTTATTTTCAACAAAATTCTAAGTTTAATTCTTTTTATAAAATGCACAGTAAGATACAAAAAAGTTAAGATAAAAATTTACAACAGCTACCACAATAGAAGTTCTCTTTAAGTTTGATGTGATTTCCAAAATAACAATTTTCTGTGAATTAGTGGTAAGGCATGTAATATAAATATGTTGGGACAATTACCTGCTTTTCCGCAAGGCAGCAACAATAACTTTGGCATCACATGGGCTAGGTGGAGACTTCTCTGGTGGTTTGGCATAAATAAAACTCCACCTGCAATCAAACCAGATATTTCAAGAAATTTCTGGTAAATACAATATGAAATAAGGTTGACAAGATGCACTGAATTAATAAAAAAAAAAATCAATGATTAATACTACTTCAGCTTTAGCGATTAAAGTCTAGGGTGGCATGCAGCTTTAGTGATTAAAGTCTAGGGTGGCATGCAGCTTTAGTGATTAAAGTCTAGGGTGGCATGCAGCTTTAGTGATTAAAGTCTAGGGTGGCATGCAGCTTTAGTGATTAAAGTCTAGGGTGGCATGCAGCTTTAGTGATTAAAGTCTAGGGTGGCATGGTTTTCCAAAACAACTCTTATCTAAAGTATTTAAATTAGTAACATTTAAAAACCTTCTTTAGATAACACTAACAATGATGATATAGATGATGCTACGCCCCTGTAATTTCAATTTGTTGTACTTGGGATATTGTCCAGTTTTGGCCAACTCCCTCTTAATAAGTCTGGTTGCTTAACATACAACACTCTGCTTACATACAGTTGGGGTTGACGAGTATATGTAACACAGTCCGTATGCCACTATGTTTATGTAACACTATATTTGTTTTTATCTGTTTTGAACCTCAACCTCCTAATGCTGAAGAAGAGTTATTGAACCTCGTCTGTTTGGTTGAGGTTGGGTGTCTACCTAGGTCATTCAGTTTATATTTTACTATGGATTGCACCTCTTTGAACAAATGTACACATCCTTATTTACCACTCGTATCAAATTCATTTCCTGCTACAAGTATGAAAAGCATACCTATTCCAGAAAAAGTATGGTATCCCACGTGGTTTCAATGTTGAGTGCTTACATTGGCTCCTCCACCTTTGCAGTGTATAATTCTAGCTTTGTGTGAGTAGAGGTAAGACCGTATTGGAGGTTAACATTTTTTTGCAATGAAAATGACCACACCCTTTTCACTGCCAGTGCTCTTCTTTTAGAGACTGCCAATTCTCAAACGTGAGGGTTGAACGGTAATAGCAGAGGGACTTAGCTGCACCAATATAGGTGGTGTAATACTATTGGTGGAGAGTAGTCACATGATATGTACATGTTCAATAGTGGCATGAAATTGGTGGGGTATATAGACTGGTGTGTGCTGAGCATGAAACATTTTTCAGCAGTGCTTAGAGGAAGACCGACCTCGTAACCATTTTGTTCTTGTTATAGTTTTCATGCTATAACTATTAAATTAGTAAGGGAATGTCAATGAAATATGGCAGATTATCAGTAAACATTACAATGGTTTCATACGCAAAATATCAAATTTTTGTATTAAGTCGTAAGGTTTGTAAATCAATGTTTCTCTCATGCCTTTTTTCCTTTTCACATCTAGCCTATCTATCATGCAAAGTAATTTTCATCTTAACATTAAAAATACTTTTAAGCATCAGAAAATTTCGAAATTTCACACGTGAAATCTTTATAATGTTCAAATAGTTATCAAACATTTCTTAAGAAAGAACTTTATATTTTATCTGTTCTTTTCAGTAATTAATCTCTGTAGATGTTTGGTAGATTTGACTGACCTCGCAACCACCACCATAAAAAATTAGAAAATAAATATATATGCCTCTTTCATTCTAGAATGAACACAAATCATAACACAAAAACATAATTTTTTAGACTAAATAGCCTAAATCTCATAACATTATACATTTATATATATTTATTATTTTTATTATATTGACCTTTCACCCATGCCTGGCTAACAATACAGAAGTTACAATGACGCGGCTCACGTGCACTCACGTTACCGTATCAAATAACATAAAGGTGACCTTTGGTCTGTAAAAGTAACTTGTCTTGGCTGTTTTTTAGTGAACTAGTATTTTGCAAAATACAGTCACATTTCAATTATTATACATTATATATGTATATAGATTATTGCTATTTACAAACAAGTTCTTAGTTACTTTTCCTAAAACATAGAATAGTAAATAAAGAAGTAATGCAAACAATTATCTCTTCTAGTTACGACTTTTGTACTCGGTTGCTGCTCGATGTAGGTTGCTAAGCCTTGTAAAAATTTTGCACGTGGAAGATATGAACAAAATTTATTTTTAGGTTTTATGTATATACATTTGAATAACTAAAAAATCACAAATTACTGCATTAATACCATAGAATTCTACTATAATTTATCAAAAGTAGTAACAACGCTGTATTTGGGTCTAAAAAATGAAATTTCAAGCAGACTAAAGACACAAATTTCCTCATTAAAATCTTGAATTACAAGAAATAAATAATGTTAGGTACGTTAGAAAGCCACTAGGGGACATTCTGAGCTTCCAATTGGTTATTCATGTCATATATAAAAGTAAGTATATACAAGGGAGCATTTCTAAAAATGGATGGTGAGCGAGGTGCCACTATGTTTGATTTATTACGTGAGCAATATCTTAGCAAATAGAAAAGATAAGACCTTCTTATTTTATAT